CTCTCTCTCTCTCTCTCTCTCTCTCTCTCTCTCTCTCTCTCTCTCTCTCTCTCTCTCTCCCCAGCGTTTACCGTTGGCACGTGTCGTGTCATGCAAGAAAGGCGCAGTGGAATATGTAGCGGATGTATCCACCATAAACTGCAAAGAGTTTACAAAACTCCGATCATGCAGACGTATATGGGAACATGAGTTGTGAATCACTTGCACATCTCCCGCTATAAACTGCAAAGAGTTTAGAAAATTGTGGTCATGCAGACGTGTATGGAAACATGAGTTATGAATCACTTGCACATCTCTCTCTTTATCTCTTGTTTGTGTCGTCTCGCATATGAAATTGGAAGTGGAATTAGTGTCGATGTATCCGACACCAACTGGAAATGAGAATTGATAAGTCAAGTACCTACACAGACATATATGGGGACATGAGTTGTGAAATCTCTCTCTTTATCTCTCGTTTGTGTCGTGTCGTCTATGAAAGCGGATGTGAAAAGACATGGTCAACATTGCTCAAGAGTCCTCACTCATCCCTCTCGAATTTCATGGTCAATCTCTCATTTGACTGTCCTCCTCCTGTGCTTTGAACCATGTCAGCGTACTCTTTGAGGCTGTGGCCTCCGAATGTAGAGCCATCTAAAGCTAGCAAGCTCTGAACACCTTCATCCAAGGTACATGACTCGGAAGTCAATCATAGAGCAGAACTCCTCCCATAGAGTGGGAAGATAGGGTCTTGAGAAGATACCCCGTCTGAGATGTTCGAACTCTGAAGGCTCTGTCAAAGCCTGATAATCAATCTGTGCAGGTGAGATATACCTCTTCGCCAAGTCTACCAAGTCGCCCCAGCGAGACCCATCGGTGAGTAGAGAGGGAAGGGTCAGACGTAGGAGAGACCGCTCAGTACTGTCAAGAGACGAGTTGTAACCAGGTTCACGAGGCATTGTCATGATTTGATAAGAGATATCTGTCAGCATTCGAACGTTATCAATCAACATTCAATCACTTACCAATCAACAAACGGTTAAATCTTTTACCCCATCAGACATTAAGACATAGCTCACGATAAGGAGCGAAGAGTTCAGTTTCATCAGCCAGCATCAGCACATGAGTGCAGTCCAGTCATTCTGAGTCCAAGAGACTGTACTGACTAGTCTCAACAGGATAGCTTTAAGAGACGCTTTCCAACACAGGTACGTGAGTGTGGTTGGCTGCAGGCAGGAGGACATATCCATCTATGTGGTTCATACCGAGTTCGTCGGCGGTACCATTCATGACATGAGACTTCATGTGAAGAAAGGCAAAGAAACCTATGAGCACGTCGATTCAATCTGGATCTCAGCAACTGGGTATCTCGAGAGGAGAAAATGTGAGCTTGATGAGAGTGGAACAAGGCTGATCCACAGCTTTGGGCCCATGCTCTATGTTGACTACTGTGCGATTCCCACTTTGATAGTTTGTCTTTTTCTGTTTTACGTTATCAACTCATGAAGTATCCCCTTTCTCTCTTTTCGTTTCCTTTATTTTCACCATTGGCGGCTGACAGTTTCTCGTGCTGGGTTCACTGTCTCAGCAAAGGAGAGCGTGTTGTGTAGTTCCCCGCCTGTTCCGTGAAAGTGGATTACGTACTCGATGAAATGTTGACTTTTCACTAACCTGAGTGTATCCTCTCTTATAAGTTTAGAATAGTGTGGTACATCGTCAACTGCACGATCCATCCATCCCTCCACCTTATCCCAGTGAAGAGTGAGGGACATAACGAAAACACTCTTATTATACATGACATCTTGCACTCCGCCTATCAGAACCAGGAAAGTAATTAACTGAGAATTGAAGATTGCCCCTTTAGTCTTGTCCCCTCCTTACACTGAGGGGATGCGGTGGGTGCTCTGGCAGTCGTTGAAAACTCTATGAGGCACAACTTCTTGTCTGATTGCCCGCATCAATTAGCATGGGTACCTCTTTACTGTGTTGAGTTTAGTTGGAACCGATCTGGAGTGCCACAGCACACTGGTCAATGTGGTTACAGACTACAGACATTATCCGGTTCACTTGCCACAAATGCGAACTTCATATTCACAAGATATGACTGTGGCAGAGATTCTGCAGGCAACTAGTTGGAGGTCTTTTAAGTCGTGCTAACAAGATGTCCGGCCAACCAAATACATATCATACGAACAGTTTCCCCCAGGAGTTGCCAGACTAGAGTTTTAGCGGTGAGTCGGTGACTGTCTCTGCGGATCGGTAGCTGCAGTCGGGGTGGCAGTCCCAATATTCTGTGACTCGTTGTGATTGGCGGGACTTAAATTCTAGATTGTAGGTCTCATTACTATACTTCAGCCCTAAAGATAGATCTCGCCCAATTGATCATTGATGATGACTCACAGTAATCCCTAACGCTCCTATGGGAGCCTATGGGAGGACACAACATCGCCGGTCACATCCCTCTCCAGTAGTACATAGTATTGTCCCGGAGCACAGTGCTCGGCATCGGTAGATGCCTCTTAGTTTGTATTGGGGAGGGCTAACTCTCTGATTGTAATGTCACTCGCTAGTAGGAAGGAATCGGGCCAAAATGGGATAATTTCGTGTTTGAATGCTTATTATGTCTGCAGGGGAACCAATCCTTCATCTCCTACCGAGAGCTCAGCATCCTAGGCCTGCCGATCTGGCATCTCATTTGGGGGAGGATCACCGTAATGCTCAAGAAGCGAAGGGTAGTTTTACTGCCCTACACACAAATGGAAAAGCATTTCACTATGCCAGGCAGGCATCGTATCGGCCTGATCAAACAGTGTGTGACGATTATTCTTTTTCCACATCGACTTCAATTCTGATTTTATATTCAAATTTTATCCTTATTCCCCTCCTTCTCTCCTCCTTAGTCACCATCGAGTATGAATTTTACTAATAAATACGCTATTGTTCGTAACACAGAGTGTTTCTTGCCCATCAATGGTGTGCGGAGACCTCTGTTCCCTTTTCCTTTTTACTATACATCAGCCAACTCATTTCCAATGACTTGTCATCCGAAACCCAACCAGCAAACATCTTAGGTGCAAGAACTCATGAGGAAAGGAAAATCAAAGCCACCCTTGTTACCTTTTTCAATGACCCAAGTTTAGTAATTTTATAGGTAGCTCAGAACATGCAAACGGCGGAGGTGAGGGTCAAACCCACACAGCTAAAAGGAACAAAGGTGAGAACTCGGATCACATCCCATGATCTTATCTGGTTAGCCGGTTTCGCAACTCGAATCTTAAGAAAGTTATCTCCTGTCCTCACAGCTCCTATCAGAAAAAGGACGGATCACGCTAAGCTGACAATCTTTCCCACCTTTAATGCACAATAGTGAGTTATCACTCACGACATTTGCATGATACAGTGTATTAGACTGACTACAGCGTTGAGCGTCTGCCCATTAGGGGAAGATTGTATGTTATCTCACCGATACAGTACACATAAACTGGCATAAATGGAGATGCTTGAACAGCAGACGTCAGACACGATCCACTAGCTGAGGAGGGAGGGGATTGCGATTGCCTGGACGTCACGGCTCACCGTCGACGAGCCCCTCTTCTAAGTAATACCTCTCCTCTATAATTGGAGTTGACGGTATGGTGGTTTGTGACGAGTTACCTGCAAAGTACTTGCTGATACAGCTCGTCCAACTTATAGATAGTTCCCAATCACAACTTCGGTCATAGGTATGGGCCACTCTTAGTTGGCACCCAGTTCCTGCCACAAGTCTTAATCCGATCTTATCTGTAACTTTGACTTCTTCCTAACTCTCGTGCCTTACTTGATTAACAATTACCCAGAACGTCACCAGTAACGGCGCTCGGAGCAAAACGTAATAGCTAAGAGATGATCATCGCTCTGATGCGACGAACGAGCTTCGGAGCGCACCGATGTCCACTGAGCTGCCCTCTGTGTAGACCTGTCTTCCGTGCTCTCACTATAATTTTCCTTACTTCAAACAATCCTTATCACAGACAACGCTCTGTGACCTTCTCTTCAGTTCCGTTTCCATAGGTCAGTCGCATCAGGGAAACACAGCGATCTCAATAGTGACAAACGATTCCACATAACACCACCCAACGCTTCACCGAATGCTAGCCAGACTTAGCACTTAGCCTAGATGCTCGCTGCGGCCAGGAGAAATCAATGCTGGCCCATACTCCTCCCAGAACGCACGCCCTTTGTAGCGAACCCACCAGGTGTGGTGCTCCGCTAGTGACAGAGATGGAGATGGAGGAAGAAGGGGGAGCAAGATGGCACAACGCAGCTCCCCACGCAAGACTCCAACGCACGTACTCCAAAATGTGCAAGTGAGGAATGAGCCTGAAAACAGACAATGGCTGGGGTATACCCCAGCGGACTGACGGGACTGGACTGGACTGGCTGGTACCGACAGAGGTACTGGCCTGGACTGGCCTACCCCGAATATAAGACAGGCTTGTGAGAACAGGCCAAGGGGCTGGTCTCACAGGCCGACCTGAGGTCCGCTACACGATCCTCGGCCTGTGATGGATCGCCTAGATACAAACATGCTTCCGCCAAGAAGCGGAACTCTACCAAAGAAAAGAAAACCTGAGTMGTCTAGGATGCGGAGCAAGCTCCATGCTGAGTCCATGCGATGCAACCTAGGATATAAAATGTCACAAAACAGCAATGTCACAGCTAACAGCCTAAGTGAAAGTAGGAGCAACTAASTAACRTACATGTCCTAGGAAAGCAAAAAGTAGTGACAACYAGATCCTWGAATGTTGGAGGCACTAGCCTCWGTCWGGTAACAACTGACTAGTGTATAAGTCCTMAGAACAGCAAAAGCAGAACARCTAAATCCTAGAAACGTCRGAGGCAGTAGCCTCAGTCTGAGAGCAACAAAGCAATCAACAAGACAACCATATGTCACATGAGAAGTGTGTCGCACACCAAAGGGTGGGATGGTCTCTGAGGGTGGCGAATGCARCCTAGGGGTCGAAAACTCCTAAGGGCATCCACACATAGTGACAGGGGAAAACACATGTCATCAGGCTCAATGAGGGTAGGGAACTGGGAGCGAACAGAACCAATGACCAGAACAGATAGACCATCAGGGCGGGTAATGCTCGACTAAGGGGTGACCGCTATGGAGGGTCGACCATGCAAGGAAACAAGGGAGCCTGGTATACTGGGCGCACCTAGATGAAGCATGCGGGGCTGCCTAACTAGGGCGTGAGGGCCGGCGAAGGGTAGAAAGATGATGGGTAAGGGAATCATGCAAATGACTCCTAAAGTGAGGGAAGTCGGAGCTAGATCCGTAAGATGGGAAGCCAGGGCAACGCTACGG